CAGTGGTAAATAATAGGTTTATACACCTTGAACAGTATCCTTTTTGAGGCGCTACAGAGAGAGATGAGCGTGCAACCCCAGAGTCGTCCGTGACTGGACCTAATGGTCAGGGGTACCTTTACCTTTTAAGCAGAACTGTACACAATATTCCAAGTACAGCCACACCATAGAATTACATAATGCTATTCTGATATTGGAGGTTTTATTTTCAGTTTCCTTTCCTAATGATCCCTAGCACGGAATTCACTTTTTTCAAGGCTGCCACACACTGGGCCAATGTCTTCATTGAATCCACCTTTGCCCCAAAATCTTGTTCCTAGTCAGTCCTGCCAATTTGAACCCTCTTAGAATATATGTTAAGTTAGGAATTTTTGCCCAAATGTAGAGCTTTGAAGGCTGGAAGGGGGTGGACTGGAAAAAGGGGAGAAAACAGGTATTTTCCCACTTCTTCAAAGCCCTTTTATGCCATTCTGTCCTTCCTGTCCCCCCCCCCCCCGGCATGGACATTTTGAAAGGTTTTTGGATTAAGAAATATTTTCTTTTAGAATGATGAACAAAATGTTTAAGACCAAGTTTTCATATTTTTATGCCCTCCAAATGATTTCTAAAACTGTGTAACAGTAAGACATTTGTGTAAGACCATGTACTGTATTAGGGACGTGGGTGGTGCTGTGGGTTAAAGCACAGAGCCTAGGACTTGCCGATCGGAAGGTCGGCGGTTTGAATCCCCATGATGGGGTGAGCTCCCGTTGCTCGGTCCCTGCTCCTGCCCACCTAGCAGTTCGAAAGCACGTCAAGTGCAAGTAGATAAATAGGTACCGCTCCAGCGGGAAGGTAAACGGTGTTTCCTTGCGCTGCTCTGGTTCTCCAGAAGCGGCTTAGTCATGCTGGCCACATGACCCAGAAGCTGTACTCTGGCTCCCTCGGCCAATAAAGTGAGATGAGCACCGCAACCCCAGAGTCAGCCACGACTGGGCCTAATGGTCAGGGGTCCCCTTTACCCCTTTACCTATGTACTGTATTGGATCACTACAATTCCTGTACCCCAAGGACAAACAAGCCCTGAAAGTACAGCTCAAAAGCAAGAGATACATTTCTGCCTCTTGGGGGGGCCTTGCCATTGTGACAAGGGAAGGAAGAAGGATTCAATGCTTTCTTTGTAGTCTTCCTCTTCTTGGCATAGTTGGTGGATCTCTTTCTGCCTTCTAGATGAAACCTCAAAGGACTGGGCTTGGGAGAAAGAACAGAGCAGCATAATTTTGTTGCCATCCGATTCATGCTCTTGAAAATCTGTCGGATCCAAGATTCAAAGCCAGGAATGTAAGTGATAACAGCACAGCTTCTTTGTTTGACTGGACTACAAAACAGGCAACACATTGAAATCTGGATGTTGGGCATGTACTTTTTAAGTGTTGCAGAGTACAGATCATCTTCATGTATGGTATTTGGTTAAGGGATGCAGTCTGGGATTCTGCCAAGCATATCCCTCCTGTAAGACGGTGGCAAGGCCTTTGCACAGCACAACCCCTGGCTCCTCTTGCTTCTAAGCTACTTCTGATTCCTCCGTCTTCTGCAGCACATGAAAGAATCACCATTGTCCTCCTCTTGTCTTGCAGTAAGGTTTGATGGATGTTTTAGGAGGCTCTCGGAGTCTGCTGGGATGTTTCTTTGGTGCCTGAAAATAAAAAGGCAACCAGTTTCTTTAGAAAAGGCTGACTTTGTAGGACAGCTGTGCAGGAGATGGGTTCTTCAAATCCCAAGAATGACTAAAGCCCCAGCATTTCAATGGGATATTCTTGGCTTTGGAGAAGAAACAGCAGGTCTCTCTCTCCCCGCCTTTCTCTTTAAAATTGGTGTTTGGAAGTTGTCCTTCAATGAACAACACTGAGCTTGCTGTACCCTTATTGCTCCTCTTGGCTCCACCCAGCTTGAGCAGTTAGGAGAGTTGCGATACATTAAAAATAAAAAGTGAGGCTTGGCAGTGCTGGGCAGTCCGCCTCCCCACTGTGCCCCCAGAACTGACGTTCCAGTAACACTTTCATTTGACATTCAGTTGTGACCTTCCTGCCAAAGACATGCTGGCAGCTGGGTGTTTTAAAGTGACAAAAAGAAAGAGAAGAAAGCGCTTTACCTGCAAAAGAGCTGCCCAGGTGCTTCTGCTGCTGCTGAGACAGGCGTTGCCATCTGCCAGGGCTGGTGATATGGGATAAATGAGCCTCATACAACCAACATGCTTAACCCTAATTAATGCACCAAAGGGTTAAGACCATAGAGTAAGTTGTTCTGCCAGACTTAGATAGGTCACACCCCCTCACCTTGAGAGGAAAGTTAGCAAATGCTTTGTTTTCTCACTTCCACCATGTGAACCCAACCTGTAAAGGTAAAGGTAAAGGGACCCTTGACCATTAGGTCCAGTCGGTGCTCATCTCGCTTTATTGGCTGAGGGAGCCGGCGTACAGCTTCCGGGTCATGTGGCCAGCATGACTAAGCCGCTTCTGGCAAACCAGAACAGCGTATGGAAACGCCGTTTACCTTCCCACTGGAGCGGTACCTATTTATCTACTTGCACTTTGACGTGCTTTCGAACTGCTAGGTTGGCAGGAGCAGGGACCGAGCAACAGGAGCTCACCCTGTCATGGGGATTCAAACCACTGACCTTCTGATCCACAAGTCCTAGGCTCTGTGGTTTAACCCACAGCTCCACCCGTGTCCCAACCCTACCTGTAAGGAGGGCTAAGTTAGATACTTAGACTGCATGGCTTAAGCAAGCCACTTTTATGTTTCTATACAAATAATTTAGACATAATTTAGTGCCGTAGTTTAATGTGAAGAAAAACTTGCTTCTGTCTGTCCTAAATATTCTCTCTGTGTGTATGCCTTTCCTGTTGTGTGTGGGCAAGGAGGTTCTTGAGTACCCCCCCTGTTTTTCTTCCACATTTTGTGGTGCCCAGGGTGTTTCTTCAGATCTCCAGATGTGCACCTGGTCCCTCATAGGTTGTCGACTCCTGGCTGGAAGAAGCACACCTGGTTTCTCTCAGCAGATGATGAGAAACAAGAAGCTTGCATTTTCTCGTGGCTCTTGGTCCATGTGTGGTCCATGCATTTGATTGCTAGATGCCTTCTCTACCTTTTGCCTGAAGAAATGCTTTAAGGCAGTTTCCAGCAAATATATGAAGTATTCAGGAAAGCACCCTTGGGTGCTGCACGATGGCAGGTTCTGGGTGGTGTGCTCTCCACTTCTCCTGGGGCTAGTCTGGGAAAGGATGGTGGGTGGCCTCCTTGTGCCAACACTCACCAGCTGTGAGGCCCTGAAGGCCTGGTGATCCTGCTGAGTTGAAGGAGAGGCAGCCTTTCAGGTGGGGCAGGAGGAGCTTGGGGCTACTATTTTAATACTGAGATCTTCTCATTGCCATTCCTGGTAACACAGAAACATTAAAACATCAGAACCAAAGAACATTTTGGTTCTGTTCTTGGGGGGCGGGGGGGCGGGCGGGGCTGGTGTGGAGGACTCCCTGGTTCTGAATAGGGTAACTGTGCCCCTGAAGGGGACCAGGTGCACAGCCTGGGAGTCATTTTGGACTCACAGCTGTCCATGGAGGCACAGGTCAATTCTGTATCCAGGGCAGCTGTCTACCAGCTCCATCTGGTACGCAGGCTGAGACCCTTCCTGCCCGCAGACTGTCTCGCCAGAGTGGTGCATGCTCTAGTTATCTCCCGCTTGGACTACTGCAATGCACTCTATGTGGGGCTACCTTTAACGGTGACCCGGAAACTACAACTAATCCAGAATGTGGCAGCTAGACTGGTGACTGGGGGCGGCCGCCAAGACCACGTAACACTGGTCTTGAAAGACCTACATTGGCTCCCAGTACGTTTCCGAGCACAATTCAAAGTGTTGGTGTTGACCTTTAAAGCCCTAAACGGCCTTGGCCCAGTATACCTGATGGGTCTCCACCCCCATCGTTCTGCCTGGACACTGAGGTCCAGCTCCGAGGGCCTTCTGGCGGTTCCCTCACCGTGAGAAGCAAAGCTACAGGGAAGCAGGCAGAGGGCCTTCTTGGTGGTGGCGCCCAACCTGTGGAATGCCCTCCCATCAGATGTCAAAGAGATAAACAACTACCTGACATTTAGAAGACATCTGAAGGCAGCCCTGTTCAGGGAAGTTTTTAATGTGTGACATTTTAATGTATTTTTAATCTTTGTTGGAAGCCGCCCAGATGGGAAGCCCAGCCAGATGGGCGGGGTACAATTAATAAATTATTATTATTATTATTATTATTATTATTATTATTATTATACCAGGGGCCCCACTAGATACCCACAAGCAGTTCTTCGTGTTATGAGAGATGGAGAATAACTTTTCTCGGTCTACTTTATCCATGTCAGGCATGAATTTCTAAACTTCTTTCATGCCACCCCTTACCCACAGTGTTCGAAATTAGCATGTGGCTTTCAGTCACTTGCAACCAAGTGAAGATGCCTGGGGGCCAGGATGACACCTGGAATCTTCACCATTTGGGGACCGTTGGATCGGCGCAGTTTTCACAGACTAATCCTGCATAATTCTATCAATTATATTTTATCTGCACAGTTGGAATGAATTTCTGCAGCCCAAATGCTTTTTCTGTGCAGCGTGATTCATGATTAAGAGAAAGAGGTCAGAACAGGCCTGTTGGACTGTCCTTGGACCAAGTGACTTTTCTTCTTTAAGTTCTCCATGCTCTTAACCTAGCTCAAGATTGTGCTCTGAACTAGCGAGATGTTTAACTGAGAGTCAATCACGGTCAGTCCATCATTTGAAAAAAAAGACCCTAGAGCCGTCTTGCCTCCTAGACATTCTGTTTTGGTGACTGTAAATTTGGTTTAAGGAGCCATTTGGTGCCTTGCTTATATATCTGAGTTTCTAACCCTGCTTACCCAGGCTTTGGGGACATGGTACCCTGTGTCTCTGCTCTCTTCCTCTCTGAGCCACTTCTCTGTGTTCTCCTCCTTGCCTACAGACAAGATGTTGCACACCTGGGCTGCTTCTTCCTCGCTGACCACCCAGGACTTCCACACCTGGCGGATCCCTGTGGACTGTGTCCGCGCCAACGAGCTGTGTGCGGCCGAGCCCAGCTGCAGCTCCCGTTACCGCACGCTGCGCCAGTGTGTGGCCGGGCGTGACCGCAACACCATGCTGGCCAACAAGGAGTGCCAGGCAGCGCTGGAGGTGCTACAGGAGAGCCCCCTCTACGACTGCCACTGCAAGCGCGGGATGAAGAAGGAGCTCTTGTGCCTTCAGATCTACTGGAGTATCCACCTTGGCTTGACAGGGGGTAAGTACCTTCCCGGCTAGCAGGGGTGTCTATGTGTGAAACTAAGTTGATCTTTGAGAACATTGTGCTTCATCTAGATCAGGCATCCCCAATCTCAGCCCTTCAGATGTTTCAGGACTACAACTCCCATCACCCTAGCTAACAGGACCAGGGGTCAGGGATGATGGGATATGTAGTCCCAAAACATCTGGAGGGCTGAGTTTGGGGATACCTGGTCTAGATGCTGCAGCATGACTGCTGGCAGGGATGAGGCCCTTCACCAGATGGAATACATAGGACATGAAAAAATTATTACCTTTCGCTTTAAGAGATCATTTTTTAAAAAAAACCCCAGAAAGAAATCAGTGCCTGAAATGGCTAGTAAGCCTCTCCTTGTAAGCAGGTGGAGGAATAATTCAGGGAGTACAGTTTCAAACAGTTATGGGCAGCTTAGCCACAGTAGTTCATGCACCAGTTATTTCATGGATGAAGCTGCATTGCACTCTATGTGGGGCTTCTGTTGCGCTTGATCTGGAAGCTGCAGTTAGTGCAGAATGCTGCAGCACGATTGCTGATGGGAGTGAGGCCTCGTCAGCACAGAACACCTTTGCTCAGAGATCTGTACTAGTTGCCAGCTTGCTACTGGGCCAAGTTCAAGGTGTTGCTATTAGTATATAAAGCCCTTAACAACTTGGGACCGGTTTACTTGCGAGATTGCCTCACCCATGTCTGCCGACATGACCGATTCAATTGGCAGCACTGGCATTGTGAAAAGTACAGTGAAGATGCCGGCCTGATTTCAAGAGGCGGGGAGTTCCAAAGAACCAAACGATTTGAGTTCTTATAAATGCATAACGGGTATTACATGGCACCTGTACCAGTGCCGGTTGTGCAAGTCTGCATCTCATTCTTCGATGGGAGAATCCCAGGGAAGCCTAGACCAAGCTTCCTTTGAAGAGAGGCTGGGTAAGGTTTACTGCTGTGTGGACTTGGTTAAGATTGTAGGCTTTTCAAGCACATGCTCCATGCCACATACTGGCTGCTCTTGAAGCTGCTGCTCTTGCAGACCAGGTGTGCTCCCTTTCCCATGCCTTCTTTCCCTGGCTACACCTCTTCCCCTTTCCCACCCAGTGGAGAACAAAGCCTGCAAAGAAACCACATTGAAAGGGACTTGCTTCTGCATTGCTGCAGACAGCGAGAGGTATGAAAAAGGAAGGGGACAAAATACGGTTCGCTGTCCCTCTAACAGGCTGCCCAAGGCACGTGTCCCCCTTGGCACTCCCTGCAATCCAGACTTGCAATGCCATGGCAAATTCTGAAATGCAGGAGCTCATCAGGAGAGCCCCCCGTAGCCCTGCTCCCCACAGCGTATCCAGGAATGCAGGTAATGGCGCCGATCCATTACGATGCACACATATCAGCAATCTAACTGGGGGTAAGATCCATGGAACTCTGTGCAGTTACAGGGAACCAGACAGAGGGCCTTCTCGGTAGTGGCGCCCGCCCTGTGGAACACCCTCCCTTCAGATGTGAAGGAAATAAGCAGCTACCTTCTCTTTAAAAGACATCTGAAGGCAGCTCTGTTTAGGGAAGTTTTTAATATTTAACGCTGTATTGTTTTTAACACTTGATTGGAAGCCGCCCAGAGTGGCTGGGAAAACTCAGCCAGATGGGCGGGGGATAAATAATAAATTATTATTATTATATATTATTCCTGACTGCAGAGGTTCAACGTGCAAAACACATCGAGATTTCACAAAAGATATCCAGCCAGCTGAATTGCAGCCTTTTGCCTTTCACTGGAAATGCAAGGAATCTTGCAAAGATTTCTGCACCGTAGAGGGTTGGACCAGATGATCCGGGGAGAGGGGGTACCTTTCGGCTCTTACAATTCTGTGATTCTAAATGTTACCATTTAAACTTTTAGCATGAAGTAGGGACCCTGTCAATAAAAAAGAAGGCAGTTCCCAGCCTCCGTGTGACATTTACCTCATTATCTCCGTTTTTCTATGTTAATCTGTCACAAACAAACTAGCCTGGGAAGTGTCCTTCAGCTCTCTATATTGGACAAACAGGCCAAACCTTACGCCAAAGACTAAACGGACATAAATCTGACATCAAGAATCACAAGACAGAGAAACCAGTAGGAGAACACTTCAATCTCCCAGGACATTCTATACAAGATCTCAAAGTAGCTGTTTTACTACAAAGGAATTTCAGAAATAGACTGGAAAGAGAAGCTGCTGAATTGCAACTCATTACCAAACTTAAAACCATGGAGAGACCTGGTCTGAACAAAGACATTGGATTCTTATCTCATTATACATGACAAAGCCATTTTTCACCTTCTCACCCCTTGCTTTTTCCTGTAAGACCTATTGCAGTCGTTAAGAGTCGTCAACAGGCTCATCACAGCTATCTGCCAATCACCCATTCCCACCACCCTTCTGAGTAATACCCCTCCCCACCTTCTCACTATATAGAAGGATCTGGCAACTTCTGTTTCAGTGTATCTGAAGAAGTGTGCATGCACACGAAAGCTCATACCAAGAACTAACTTAGTTGGTCTTTAAGGTGCTACTGGAAGGAATTTTGTTTGTTTTGACTATGGCAGACCAACACGGCTACCTATCTGTAACTAGCCTAGGAAGGTGCAGCAGCTATAAGTAAACTGGCAGCAGGAGGGAGGAAAGCAGTGGCGAAAAGGGGGGTGCTCTATTGATGGTTGCACCCCATTTTACACATATAAGATCTGTGGCACAGTTTCCTGTTTCCAGCAAATGCAAGTCCCTGGGCATATTTCTCTGCACCTACAGGCAAAGAATAGTTTGCAAACGGCAAGATCTGCCCACGTGTCCAAAGTGTTGCCCCTGACCAAATGCCCAAAGGTCCTCTTTCCTTCTGGAAGGAGCCCAGCTGAGCTCCCCACCCACCCACAAGGCTACTCCCGTTCCACCTTGGTGCTTCCCCCCAGAGGCTATTTCTGCCTCCTCCAGCTCAGGGGAAGTCCATTGCCCTTTTGATGCACAGCAATTTTCCTAGCAAGGGGCAAAGTTTTTCAGATACCTAATTACTTATGGCCCTGGCGAGGCGATATAGAAAGAGAAGCAGCTGAGGCACCTGAATTGCGAATGTGTGATTTGTCATTGCAAGCCCAGCGAGGGGGAAATGCAAAGCTGTGGCCTGTCAGAGCTGCCCATGGAGAGACAAAGCTTTGATTCCACGCCAGCAATTCTCCAGCTTCATGGAGGCAGAAGCAAGGCTAGCCACTTAATCGATTTCATAGAATTGCTGAGTTGGAAGGGACCCTAAGGGTCATCCAGCCCAACCCCCTGAGGTCCAGGAATCCCATTTAAAGTTTCCCTGGCAGATGGCTATCCAACCTCGGCTTAAAAACCTCCAAGGAAGGAGAGTCTGTCATATCTCGTGGGAGTCTGTTCCACTGCTGAACGGCTCTTACCACTGAATCAGACCAAACAGCAACTGACTTTTCCATGGATTGCTGTTTGTTCCAATTCAACAGCAAAGAGCATTCTTCCAGGGGAGCTGTGGGGCAAATGCAAAACCGTTTGGACCTGTGCCTAGAAAGCATGGGAGAAGTGGAAAAGCACTCGGAACCGAGCTTTTTAAAGCATGGGACAAGCAGGGGGTGGACAAGCCCTGACCGGCAGCAGCGCTCCAAGATTTCAGGGAGGAGGTCTCTCCCAACCCTTCCTGGACATTCCAGGGATTGAACCTGGGACCTTCTACATGCAAGGCAGCTGCTCTGCCACTGAGCTATGGCTGACAGATACCAGGACTTTCCTCACTTGCTCCCCCTTTGCACACTTAGATGGAAGTCAGAGCCTCTTGAAAGGTAAAGGGTAAAGGGACCCCTGACTATTAGGTCCAGTCATGACCAACTCTGGGGTTGCGGTGCTCATCTCGCTTTATTGGCCGAGGGAGCCGGCGTACAGCTTCTGGGTCATGTGGCCAGCATGACTAAACCTCTTCTGGTGAACCAGAGCAGCGCATGGAAACGCCGTTTACCTTCCCACTGGAGCGGTACCTATTTATCTACTTGCGCTTTGATGTGCTTTCGAACTGCTAGGTTGGCAGGAGCAGGGACCGAGCAACGGGAGCTCACCCCGCCGCGGGGATCTGAACCGCCGACCTTCTGATTGGCAAGGCCTAGGCTCTGTGGTTTAGACCACAGCGCCACCCATGTCCCCAGAGCCTCTTTGGGCACGTTCAAATGAGCGCTTCCTCCGCATCCAGTGCACTCCCACTGCTAAATTTAGAAGCCGCGTTCACACGATGTTAGCCACGATCCGTTTCGGTCCTACTGTTCCTCGACAAATGTTGCCGTTTCTGAAGCCAACTTCAATCCGATTAGGAAACTGGGTGCAGAATCACAAATGTCTGGCCATCCCGCGTGTGCAGACAACAGCTTCGTAAATAGGAACTGTCAGGGTGGGAAACTGAAAAGGTCCTGAGATAGATAGATAGATGATAGATAGATAGATAGATAGATAGATAGATAGATAGATAATTTATTACGGTCAGAGACCAGCTTATAAAACACAGTTGGGGGTACAATCCCAGAAGGAAAACAAACATTTAAAACAATGTACAACAATAAATTTAAAAATTATAAATGCGATAAGCCTATAGACACTTAAAACTTTAAGATAAGCTACTGCAGAGAGTTGACCCAGAGTCACCCATGGAACCGAGTATGGGGATTTTCTTAACGAAATAGTTTGGGTCGGGGGATGGTCTGCACCTCCAGATCTGCACACAGAATCTGGCGACCATCCTGTGTGTCGGGTTCAGGCATCCCACTTCCTGATGGGAACGATCCTCTGCAAATTCATCTTGGAACTCTGTGGGTGGCTGGGAAACGACCTTGCTGCGTTTCAAGTCGGATTGCAGGGGGATGACGCCTCTACAACTCTATGATTTCCATGTGAACCTCCCCTTAAGGCTCTGTCTTTCCCTTCCCGGGCTCCCGTTCCCTATTGAGAAAGGAGAGAAGCAGCCTGTGTGAGAAGCGTGCCCTTGAAAAGCAGCCTCTGTGCACGGGGGCAGCTGAGCTCGCCTGGCAATGGGGAACAATCCCCAGTACTGTAATGAAATGCATTTGTAACTGTCCAGCCAGGAGCTCCTGTGGTGGGGGCTGACCCTTCCTGGAGTGCTCCTGGCTTGCTAATAACCTTGTGTTTGAGCAGCTGAGCTTCTTAATTACAAGAGAGGAGGGGGGCAGCTGCCACCATCACCTCCTCCTCCTCCTGCAGGCTGAGAATATCTTCTGTGAGTAAGCAGCCCAGGAGGAACCTGGGAGGGAGGTCTTCTCCTCCTCCAGAGTCTTTCCATCCTTTGAGCTTGTTTTGCAACTCCTGATCGCAAAGGGTGGAACAAGTAAATCAGGGGTTGGCAACCTAAGGCCCATGGGCCACAAGCAGCCCACAGGGATCATTTAACTGGCCCCCGAGCCGCCCGCTCGGTGAGTCCCCGTGTGCTGCACTAAACCGGCGCGGCATGGGGACTCGCTTCTGCGTTGCCGGAAATTGCATCTGCGTGCGCATGCACTCTCTCTCACACACAATCCGGCCTACAGAGGGATCTCTGCTGGAGTGAACCGGCCCAGGCGAGGTAAACCTTGCCGACCCGGTCTTATTCAACATCTTTATCAATGACTTGGATGATGGACTCATGGGCATCCTGATCAAATTTGCAGATGACACCAAACTGGGAGGGGTGGCTAACACCCCAGAGGACAGGATCACACTTCAAAATGACCTTGACAGATTAGAGAACTGGGCCAAGACAAACAAGATGAACTTTAACAAGGAGAAATGTAAAGTATTGCACTTGGGCAAAAAAAAATGAGAGGCACAAATACAAGATGGGTGACACCTGGCTTGAGAGCAGTACATGTGAAAAGGATCTAGGAGTCTTGGTTGACCACAAACTTGACATGAGCCAACAGTGTGACGCGGCAGCTAAAAAAGCCAATGCAATTCTGGGCTGCATCAATAGGAGTATAGCATCTAGATCAAGGGAAGTAATAGTGCCACTGTATTCTGCTCTGGTCAGACCTCACCTGGAGTACTGTGTCCAGTTCTGGGCACCACAGTTCAAGAAGGACACTGACAAACTGGAACGTGTCCAGAGGAGGGCAACCAAAATGGTCAAAGGCCTGGAAACGATGCCTTATGAGGAACGGCTAAGGGAGCTGGGCATGTTTAGCCTGGAGAAGAGGAGGTTAAGGGGTGATATGATAGCCATGTTCAAATATATAAAAGGATGCCACATAGAGGAGGGAGAAAGGTTGTTTTCTGCTGCTCCAGAGAAGCGGACACGGAGCAATGGATCCAAACTACAAGAAAGAAGATTCCACCTAAACATTAGGAAGAACTTCCTGACAGTAAGAGCTGTTCGACAGTGGAATTTGCTGCCAAGGAGTGTGGTGGAGTCTCCTTCTTTGGAGGTCTTTAAGCAGAGGCTTGACAACCATATGTCAGGAGTGCTCTGATGGTGTTTCCTGCTTGGCAGGGGGTTGGACTCGATGGCCCTTGTGGTCTCTTCCAACTCTATGATTCTATGATTCTATGACCCCTGAAGTAAATGGTCAAGGGTCCGGAAATGAAGCCTTAGGAGGAGGAACAGTTGACACTGAGGTCCAGCGCCGAAGGCCTTCTGGCGGTTCCCTCACTGTGAGAAGCCAAGTTACAGGGAACCAGGCAGAGGGCCTTCTTGGTAGTGGCGCCCGCCCTGCGGAACACCCTCTCACCAGATGTCAAAGAGATAAACAACTACCAGACTTTTAGAAGACATCTGAAGGCAGCCCTCTTTAGGGAAGCTTTTAATGTTTGATGCATTACTGTATTTTAATATTTTGTTGGAAGCCACCCAGAGTGGGCGGGGTATAAACAATAAATTATTATTATTATTATTATTGGAGTTATTTAGCCTGGAGAAGGGAAGGCTGACAGGTGACATGATAGCCATCTCCAGATACCTGAAGGGCTGTCATATGCAGGATGGAGCAATCTTGTTTTCTGCGGCTCCAGAGGAGAGGACCTGAACCAATGGATCCAATTTAAGGGAAGGAGATTCCGACTAAACATTAGGAAGAACTTTTCAGTGGCAAGAGCTGTTTGCCTGTGGAACAGATTACTTCAGAAGGTGGCAGGCTCGCTGTTGTAGGGTGCTCACTTTGGCAGCACATATACTGTGTGTTAAACCACAGAGCCTAGGACTTGCCAATCAGAAGGTCGGCAGTTCGAATCCCCGCAACGGGGTGAGTTCCCGTTGCTCAGTCCCTGCTCCTGCCAACCTAGCAGTTTGCAAGCACGTCAAAGTGCAAGTAGATAAATAGGTACCGCTCCGGCGGGAAGGTAAACGGCGTTTCCATGCGCTGCTCTGGTTCGCCAGAAGTGGCTTAGTCATGCTGGCCACATGATCCGGAAGCTGTACGCCGGCTCCCTCGGCCAATAAAGCGAGATGAGCGCCGCAACCCCAGAGTCGGTCACGACTGGACCTAACGGTCAGGGGTCCCTTTACCTTTATACTAAAATTGGAACGATACAGAGAAGACTCTCTTTTGTAGGAGGTTTTTAAACGGCCAGTGGATGGCTAGGGATTCTTTAGCTTTGATTCCTGCATTGCAGAGGATTGGACTAGATGGCCTTTGGGGTTCCAACTCTAAAATTCTATGGTTTAAAGTGGTGTTGGGACTAAGAGCTGCTGAAATCCATGGTTTAAACTGGGGCCCTCCCTCCTCTAGATTGCTTCCGTGCCCCTCTGGTCTGGTGTGTGAATCACGGTCACCTGTTTCATAGGTCAGATATCAAGAAAAAGGGGGCAAGAGAGCTTCATCTGGAGAAAAGTGTTTGTGAGCTGAATCTGATTTCACAGATCAGCTAAGGCCAACCCATGATAGCTGCTGATCCACACCACCTGTTAAGTTGTGGGTGAACATATCAGATGACACAGCGATTCTTCAAACAGCTCTTGCTTATTCACAGGCCAGGACAGAACTGAACTGAAGGGTTCAGTCAGCCTTCTTATATAGAGCTCCAGTACAACGTAACTGTAACAATTTTCTAAAACTATCCAATCACTGAACGTCACTTTCCATCCCTTATTTGCATAACTATCTACAGTACCCCCCTGCTGGCCCAGGGTGAGAACTTCAGTACATAACACCACCCTCTTATCCAATCAGTGGAGGTGGTGCTGTTATAGGTGCCATGCAATACCCATTCCACATTTGCAAGAAGTTAGTATTTTAGTGTGGCGGAGCCTACACTCTGGAACTCCCTGCCTATTGACATCAGACAGGCGTCTTCACTGTCCTCTTTTTGGTGCCTGTTAAAAACATCCTTGTTTAGACAAGCCTGCCCAGATCTTTAGAAAGTTGGTGTGAGTTTTAATCTGAGCTTAGTCTATTGTCATTTCAAATTCTCCAAAGCCTTAAATTGTTGTTGTTAATTTTTCTGATTAACAATGCTATTGATTCAGGTTTTTGGTAAACTGCTTTCAGTTTGTTTACACAAGAAACAAATTGCAGATTAATTGGGATCCAGGGATCTGTGGCTCTCTGCCCCCACCCCGTGCAAAAGCAAAAGGGCATTATGAGTTTCTAAGAGTCTCTCTTTCTCCTCCTTCTCATTCCAGGAGAAGAGTTTTATGAAGCTTCCCCCTACGAACCAGTCACCTCTCGTCTCACTGATATATTCAGACTCGCTTCAATTGTCTCAGGTAAGAGAGGCCAAGGGAAAAAGGCTTCCTGGCCATTTCCATTTGATGTTTTCCATCAGGTGACTTGACTGCAGAACTCCAGGAGAACCAACATCTCCTTGCTCCTCTCTCCTGGGAGTTCAGGGCTGTCTGTGTATGGACACATGGCACTTTAAAGCGGATCTGGTTCATCCCATCAGGGCCAGCCCTACAATGAGGTAGAATGAAGCAGCTGCCTCAGGCGGTGGATGCTGAGGTGGGGCAGCGAGTGAACAGAGCTGTGAGTGTCATAGGACCTGCCCTGTAGCCCCTAGGCTAGCCTTTTGCCCTTGAGGGTAGTCGTTTCACCAGTACAGTGGTACCTCGGGTTAAGTACTTAATTCATTCCGGAGGTCTGTACTTAACCTGAAACTGTTCTTAACCTGAAGCACCACTTTAGCTAATGGGGCCTCCCGCTGCTGCTGCGCCGCCGGAGCATGATTTCTGTTCTCATCCTGAAGCAAAGTTCTTAACCTGAAGCACTATTTCTGGGTTAGCGGAGTCTGTAACCTGAAGCGTATGTAACCTGAGGTACCACTGTATTAAAGTAGGATTCAACTACCAGTCCAGTTGGCTTCAGGACGAGCCTTGGAGGAGGGTGCCCTCTTGTTTTTCGCCTCAGGCAGCAAAATGTCTTTTCCTTAACCACTGTTTTGTGCATGTCTGGTATATTGGAAACCTGTACCTTGAAAATGATTTAGAAATTGGCTGGGTGCACAGTGGGCCTTGAGTTTCCAGAACTCAGGGCAGGTGGGGAGACCCACAGGCAGTGCAAAGGCATCCCATCCTAAGAAACATGGAGATGTTCAACTGAGAGCGTTGTGCATCAGCAAACGCTCACAAGAGAAATCGGATGTGTGCAACTTTTGAATATACTGTGTGCCTGGGACAGAGCAGGGCATGGGGTATGCCTTTAGCTCTGCGGGCCAGTTTTTGACCAGGATAGGCCTTTTGGGCCAAGCTGCATGATTGACTGGTGGGTTGTGTGCTGGTCCCGGGGGGAAGGTTACCGTTGACGTAGTCGAAGTCCGGTCCTGGGTCACTAGCCTGGAAATAGTTCGCAAGGAGCGGGGCGAGGTCCGAAGCAGGAAGCCGAGCGGGGACAGGAACACTGGAGGGTCAGGTCTGGATCCGGACAGGAGCAGGTACTCAACGACGACATTGCTCCCGCAACCTGGGACCGGGCTGACTGGCCTTTATCTTCTCTGAGGCCAGGGGCGGTCCTGGCCCCCAGGAGACCCACCTCTCCTGGCCTTAAGGCGAGCACTCCTCCTGGGAGAAACCAGTTCCCTTCGACTCTCTGCCCTGAGCCTCTGCAGATCAGGAGAGGCTGAAGGGTTACTGGGCCCCGGGGGAGACTCACCTGTAGACACTGAGTCCTCAACCACCTCTGGAGCCAGAATGGATTCACCTGGTGCCTGCTCCTGTTGGAAGATTCAGGACAGATAAAAGGAAGTCCTTCTTCATGTAACACATAGATAAACTATGGAACTCACTGCCACAGGAGGCAGTGATGGCCACCAACTTGGATGGCTTTAAAAGATGGTTGCACATATTCATGGAGGAGGAGAGGGCCATCAATGGGGATAAGACTGTTACCAGATTTTTTTCAAAGAATTCGGGGACACTTTTTTTTAAAAAAGAGAAAAAAATAGTTATTAAAAACCAGTTATTTTTTAAATATATATTCTCTTCTGTGGTCTCCTCTGTCGCGCGGCCTTCCTCTGGGCCCCGGCCTGCTCTCTTGGAGTGCTAGCTGCCATGGAGTAGGCTCAGGTTGGGCCTGGGCTCGGCCACATGTCCTTGTCCTCCTACCTACCTCTTCTCCTCAGCGGCAGTGGCCTGGCAAGGTCGGGGCTCCCCTCTTTTCCCCCTTCCTCTTTCTCTCTCTTCCTTCTCCTCGCCTCCTTCTCCCTGCGTTGGCTCTGGGGTTTTCCTAGGCGCTCTTGCTCCCGGCTCGATTTGGGTCACGGCGGGGGGAGTCAGCGGTTCCCCCAGTTGACGCGCCAGGCATCCCCGGTTCCGCCTCGGCAGTGGCAGCGACAGTCTCAGCAGCCCGGAGCCAGCCTGGTAGCGCAGTTGGCTCTGGCTGGCTTCAGGAGCTGCTCACTGCCGTGACGCCCGCCATTTTGCCTCGCCGGAAGTCCCCATATGATGTGCCATTGAACCAATCACGCAACATTCATTCCCTACTAATAAATCTACAAGACTTAAAATATAAATCCGGGGACATTCCGGGGACAGATTTGAAAATCTGGGGACTGTCTCCGGGAAACGGGGACGTCTGGTAACCATAGATTAGACACCATGGCTCAGCTCTGCCTTTGCAGTTGGAGGCAGTGAAGCACGTGAACCTAAGCAAGTACTCGCTTGGTGATAAATAAGGATCAGGCAGACTCAGCAACGGAGAATAAGAAGGTAAGGTTTATTGCCAGGCAATAAGGACCCAGTTTGGAATCTCTTCCAAAAGGAACTGGGACCCCGATTGACAGAAATCCAGAGGTCTTTATACCTGAGCAGATCACAGCAAATCATAGATCATGAGACAACCATGAGGGACTCACGATATTGTCAGCAAAAATTAGCCAATTAGCAAGCTTCTTGCCGCGCTACCAGCTCCTGGTCAAGCACTGGTCAAGCACGGAGTTCCAGTTCTGCTTTCCGATGCTTGCAGTGACGCTCTGTCTAACCTCTCCCCTAGTTATGACAGGACAGGGATCTTGGAGATTTTGTGGTTTTGCTCTTCCTGTTCTGTGGATTAATTTAGCCTGTATCTGAGGGGATTTTGCACCAGTATCTCTGATTCACGTCTTCCCCTTGTCCAGGGTACACGGATGTTTGTAGGGGAAAGGTCGGCTCCTAACTTTGCTGTTTCAAGCAGTTTGCAGTTAGCTGAGGCACAGCTTCCCTTTGATTCAAAAATAGATTTTAAAATACTGTAAGCCTTGATTATATTGATTACTGATAACTGATTATATGGATAGCATAGGGGTAGCCCTTCTTCCTTGCCTCAGCAGCAGTGCTACTGAATCTCAGTTGCTGGAAACCCCAGGAGGGGAGAGGGCTCTTGTACTCAGGTCTTGCTTGTAGGTTTCCCACAGTCATCTGGTTGTCCACTGCAAGAAGAGGATGCAGGGCTAGTTTGGCCACTGGCTTGATCCAGCAGCCTCTTCTAATGTGTGTGACCTGCCTTGGTCTTCCTCCTGTGACATCCAGTCGTCCCTCAAAACAAGTTTGTTGGATGGGTGAGCATTGACATTATACATCTGTTAACACCTGATCCTGCTTAATAATAATAATAATAAATTTTATTTATACCCCGCCCTCCCCAGCCAAGACTGGGCTGAGGGCGGCTAACACCAGATACAAAGACAATTGATTGAAATACAACTTGAAAAAACAAGATTATAATACAACATTAAAATACAGCTGCCTTTCAGTAAAGCTCAAATCGAAAACTTTTTGGGGGATGAAAACGTCAAGTCTTCACCAAGGATAACTATCCATACTGGTCCTACGTGGGCCAGAAAAAAGCCAGGGAAGTCCCCAAATAGGAGTTCCATCACAGAAGGACAAAGGAAAAAAAGAAAGAGGGGGAGGGAATCAAATGAATTCTAAGCCAAAGGCCAGGCGGAACAACTCTGTCTTACAGGCCTTGCGGACAGAAATCAGATCCTGCAGGGCCCTGGTCCCTTGAGACAGAGCGTTCCACCAGGCTGGAGCCAGTGTTGAAAAGGCCCTGGCTCTGGTTGAGGCTAATCTGACTTCCTTAGGGCCCAGGGCCTCTAGGGTGTTGCTATTTATGGACCTTAAGGTCGTCCGTGGGGCATACCAGGAGAGGCGGTCCCGTAGGTACGAGGGTCCTAGGCCGTGAAGGGCTTTAAAGGTCAAAACCAGCACCTTAAATCTGACCCTGTACTCCACTTAAGGCTCTTGCAGCCATCTTCTGCATCAGCTTCTGGACCATAGCTGTCAACCGTACCTTATTTGGCAGAAAAGTCCCTTATCCCAGCGCCATGTCCCGCTGCTGTCCCTTATTGATGATATCCCTTAAATTTCCTGGGTTTCAAAGGAAGCAGCTCCTCTCCCTCCCTCGCTGCTGGCCAGGGAGGAGGGAGGCTCCAACCGTGTTGCTTGGCTGTGTTGCTCGCCCAATAAGGAGTCTAAGAATGACTGGGGGGTGGAGCTTGCATGCCTTGTGCCGATCAAATCGGCCGCATTTCCTGGGGACTCGCCTTTGCTCAGCGCTTCCCAGCGGAGAGGTGATGGTGGTTTTCCTTACTGCATCCCCTTTGCCGGGTTGCTGCACTGTGGGAACCACTGCTTGAGGCTTCATTTGACTGCTGGTTGACTAAAATCCCTTATTTTGGCTGCTGATCCCTTATTTTCGAGGCTGCTGGTCCCTTATTTTCAAATCTGTAAGTTGACAGCTATGTTCTGGACCACTTCATATATTACTCACCACGGCAACGCAGCCTGGACATAACTAGAGCATGGATCTCTCGGTGGTCTGGTCATCCCTTTCCAGGAATTGAGAACAGGCGAAAGGCACCTTGTGTCAGCAAAGTGGGGGAAAACAGCCCTTCCTCCACCCCATCCCAGTTCAGGAGCAGATTCTTTGCTTCTCAGACTCAACTTCAAGCCACTGACTCAGCATTCAATGGTCTTGGCCAGGAAGGATGCCAGAAAGAGGACTTTCCCCCTCCCCTTCCAAGGAGGCAGGGTGGCATCCCACTGACTTCATTTGCATTTTTCTGGTAGGCCTGGAAGGGGGGGGGACTTGTCTCCTAGTGGAGTGGTGAAATCCACCCTCCTTCTCTCACCAGGTGCATCTAAATCCTACTCACTCCAGGCATTGATTGAGACAGTCTTTCCTTTGATCGTCCTGTCATGATACTAAGTAGCCTGGGTAAATACAGAAGCTGTTTTTAATTATGATATGTGGAATGTTTAGAGCAGAGGCTTACATTTGACACGGAAAC